TTTATCATGGTTACAATGGAAAAAATCTATTTATCCCAAGAAAAAGTAATCCAACAAAAATTTTAACTGTACAAACAATCATTTATTCAAGATATCTAATGCCACTTCTTTATATTTTAAGCTTCTTTAACAGATAAAATCTATCAGTCAAAGATATAATTATGGAAAAATACAATCAATTAGAAGAAAATAAACACAAAACTACTTTTTTCATAAAACTTTTTAAGAGTGCTTGAATTTTAAAATTACTTTCTTTAAAAAAAAATATTTTATGAACAAATTAGTGTTTAGAATAAAGTACTATTAAAGATGTTTAAAACTGACAAAAAAAATTTGCTGACAGCTACTAAATATGATTTGAGAACTTCTAAATTGTAGCTCTATTAACAACTTGGCCATTTTCACTTGCTATGAAAGAAATAATTTAAATAATACAGAATTTCAATTTTCTTTAATTATACAGAATTAAGATAACACCAGTATGACTAAGTTTATGCAGTATTCTTCTGTTACTGGGACAGGATTCAGAAATGTATGTATGGTATGCATGTATATATATGTGTGTGCATACATGAAGACATCCATCCATCCATATATGCATTTCGGAATCTGGTCCTGATAACAGAAGAGTACCAGTTATGCAATTCTTTTGTTACTTATTTTACATGGCTAACACCTCTAAAACTATTAAATGATATAAACACACGAAAAAGAATTTTCTTCCCTTGTGCTTTCGGTTGTTTTATACACTTAGTATCCATAGCTTTATGCATTATAACTAACAGTATTCATAAATTTAATTCAACTCTCAAACCAAAAAGGTAATGTATCACGAGAGTACCCATCTGTTAAAAAAGAATGTTCATATCCATTACTGTATACAGTAGCAGGAAGCTCTAGAAGTAGACAGAACATGAGAATTTCACCATTGGTCATATTGGTATAGTCCCCCCCCCACACTAACTGTGCAGTTGGCCCCAAATTGGAGGAAGAACATCCCAGGGGTTTCTCACCCCTCTTTCCTAGCCATAAATCTCTTCAGAGGACGTTTGGCTTGCTGTGTAATTTAAGAGCTCTCTTGCTGCACAGATTTTATATGCTTGTAAATATCCAGGGCTTCTTGGGGATTTGAAAACGGGCTTGTAAATATGGCAGTCAGCGCTACTAACCATTGCATTGGCTGAGTAGCTATATACAGTAAAAAACAACAAGGGCAACCTTAATGACATTCTGATAAGTGCTGTACTCTGCGTACAATATTACAAATTTAAAAAAAAAAAAAAAAAAGGAATGCCCATTATAACATTATATTAAACTCATGGAAGTATGTAGTATATGAAGCAGACATCATGCTCCAAATTTGAGGCTAGAAACAACTTATTCTGCATGTCACACTTCCTTTTAGATACCATCCCTCGTCTGCTCATCCATTGTTACAATGGGATGCTATATACGTCAATGATACTCTCGACAAGATTTTATTTTTTCAATTTAAAGTGAAAAAATGGTCTTGGTTCTGCTAATGAATGTTCAGAAAAAACTAATGAAAAAAAAAAAAAAAAAAAAAAAACTGAAAGGTTTCAGATTTTTTTCTGTACAACACTGCCATTGCTCACTTTGAAATCGTTGAGTTTGTTAATCAAAAATTCATTACAGTTTTACAAAATACAAAATCGATAATAAAACAAATTTCAAGTTTCGGCTTCCAGATGCCCATACTCAGGTGGAAATGTTCAATATTCAAATTTTTATAGCTCTAGGTACTGCTGTTTTATCACAATACGAGAAACATACATACATTTATGCAGATTCTTCATTATTTAATTTCTTTAAATATAATACAGGGTGATAATATTTGGTGACAACAATCTGAAAAGTGAAACATAACATGCCAAAACGAAATTAATAGTCCTTCTGGGCAAATTGCCCCTTTGGACTAAAAATAAAAAGCTTCAACAGGTATATCATTTTTAACCATAAAGTAATTTATATTTTTCTTCCCATTCACACTGATTTTTCTTTCTTTCGTGTTTCCTTTCTTCTAGAATTTCCTGCGTGTGGTCCTTTTTTTATTGAAAAGATGGGTAGAGTGGACTTTAAGGTACCACTTGTATTATGGCGAAGTTGTTGTTTGATTTATTGCCAAGTTGTTTCATTTATGGTAGCCTGAGTAGTTGAATGTTATGGAAACCCCAGTGTGACGTAATCGGGTGCATGATTCTGGGAAATTTTGAATCATGGGATGTTTTGTAAGCGTTTTTGTGGTGTGTGTTAAAACTGTTTAGATGGATTTAAATGGGTTTGTAGAAAAAAGGTTCAGATGGTCACCATGTGAAGAGTTCGATCAGAAAGAGTACCTGGTTTGAAAAAAGTCATTTGAGTATGATTGATATTTTGATTTTTACGTGGCTCTAGGTGTACGAAGCGAACTCGAAAATCATGGTATGTGAATATTTGCTTTTGGTAGTGCTTAAACGTATAACATGTTTTTCTTTTTTTCTGTTATTTTATTGTTTGGTTTAAAATGTATTTTATTGAGATTATGCATTTTTTTGTTTGCCTATATTGTAGAATTTGGTGCTCCTTTGACTTTTTAAGTGAAAATATATTGATGTGTACATGGACAAAATAAAGGGAGTGGGCAATGCAAGTTTGTGCAATTCTGGGATTTTTTTAAAGTGAAAATAGGTCGACTTCTACATGGATAAAGTTAAAGAGTGCGCAATGCCATTTTTGTGCAATTCGAGGATTTTTTTTAAGTGAAAATAGGTCGACGTGTACATGGATAAAGTCAAAGGAGTGTGGAATGCCATTTTTGTCCAATTCTTTTTTTTTTTTTAAAGTGAAAATAAGTCGATGTGTACATGGATACCGAGTTTGTGCAATTGTTTATCTTGTTATTTTGGCCTTGTGTAGCGGCGATTTTTTGCGCAAAAATTGCTTAAAATTGCACAAAATTCAAAAAAAGAATTGCACAAAATCAGTATTACGTACTGCCAAAAATTGCGAAGGGGTACCCTAAACTATACTTTTACCGAAAAGACATGTTTACAGTTCACATAAGAGATAATATTATGCTAGATATAAAGAATGTGATGTTATTTTTTAACTTTTTATGGATAATATATATAAAGTATTATGTTCTTATAGCACGGTGGAATTACGACTGGCTTTTTTGAAAATGAAAATTTGCGAGAGTTTACTTGAATAATTTTAAATTAACCCTCTGAGTGGCACAGGATTTTAGATGCGTGAAGAAGACTAGTATTTAAACAGCATGTATTAATTGAGTTTGTATAATTACTTATTTTAGCCTATATTTTCATAAACTTATATTCATTAAGATGATATTTACATTATTAAAGAAAGTAAGAAAGCAAAATATCTTAAATTACAAGCTAATATATGCCAAGTTGCAAAACTTCTGATGACTGGATAAAGCCGGTCATAACACTCAGAGGGTTAATTATCAGTATATTTTTTAAATTGCCACTTGCAATAACTGTTAGCACTTATTGGCAAAAAATATCTCTACCTTGTTATATTGCTACATCAAGACCCGACTGAAAGTCAATGCTGTGCATTTAATTCTAGTAACAAGTAAACATTATCTAAGGATCAGAAGCATGTATTGGTGTAAAGTGGTATCGGGAAATGTTACATTCGCCCCCAAAAAAGATACATATTTACTAAAGTGGTTCTCTTTAAAGGAAAATAACTTTTACATTTATTAGTCAAGTATAATGAAGTTTTTGCTATTACTGATGAAAGAATGTTAATAATACAAATATGTAATAAAAATATTGACTTATTTTAGAAATGCTTTGATTTTTTAAAATTTTATATATTTCATCAAATTTTAATTTATATCTTCGTTATTTAGCAAATTGAATTTGAAAAAAAATCTCAGTTTATTGTGTTCTAAGGATAATGTTCATAAAGATGGCAAGCAATATGAATAAAATCTCTGAATACAATTATTATCATCATCACTTCTTAAATTATAAACAAGATATGTAAGATTTTTGTTTCATAATATTTCCTCAGAATTACAGTACACATTTCTATGTATCTTACAAAAAAGATAACAAAGGAAATATTTGCGTCTATGACATTCATAGTGATCTATATATTTCCCTTGAAATTCTGCTTATTGACATAAAAATCTATTCTGCATATTTTGCTTAAAGTATTTCATAGTTCTTATCAAGTTTTTGATAATATGGATGAGGTAAATATTTTAGTGTAAGGAGAATATGGGACTGAGTAACTTTAACTATCTCCGTGGAATCTAATTTTTTAAATTTTGAACTGATGAAATTCACAGCTCCATTATGTACGAGGTACATTCCTGTTTCAAGGAATAATTTATCATGTTTTCTCATTAAGTATAGAAGATAATTTTAGTTATATTATTTTATCTAGAAGCCTTAGATATTGTTTGTTCTCTTCAATTTTTATTTCTGGTTAGCAGACGGTGATTTAAGGAAAAAATTCTATATCATATTTAGCATAATTTATTTTATCATTAAAGTATTATTTACTAATGTTTTATCTATGTACAATTTTGATTATGTATTGTCACTCAAATTATCCATCCATATGTAAGTAGCACAGAATAAATTGTTTTGAAATTACATCCCTATGCCTATCCCTGATATTTAAAGGCATTTACTACTAGCTTATTTTATGCTTGCAAACTGCTAATGCTTTTGAAACTTAACTGTGATAAGTTTAAAAAGCATTTTAATAGTATGATAAACAATTTTAATTTAATTACAAAGTGGTGTTTTTATTAACGGATTTAAAACAGTGAAAACTGCATTAAATTATATGTAATAAGCAGTCTAGCTGGGACAATAAAAACAAGCAGAAAGAAAAATTTATGAACAAAGAATGCTATAGCAAGAGTTGCTGACAGTCTCTCTATTTACTTTTTACCTCTATGATCTAACTGGGTATATCAATGATTATGGGAAATATGTATATTTCAAACTTCATTGTGTATTAAATGTTTAATTACTTTTACTCACATTTACAGTCTAGAATATCACACACTAACATCTTGATTCTAATAAAACTAAACAAATTAATATGAAAACATTGATTCCCCAGCAGTGCATAAATAAAAAAAAAGAAACTCGAGATTAATACAAAAAAATTTTATGAAAAAATACACATTCAGCACACTTAATCAAAGATTCTGCAGAACAAAACTATAGAGAAAATGAAAAGCATATGGTCCACACATATGAAAACTTGATATTTCTTATAAAACATAGTTATTTATTTATTTCTCAATAAAATCTAAAAATTTTACTTTAATAATGGTTTCAAAAATGCTTCAAGCAAAATATCTGAGGCTTGCCCAGGTGTTACAATACCTTCCTGAACTTTTATTTCCATATCTTTAATTAAAGACTTTACATTAGGGTGTTTTTTAAAGGCATTTAATAAATTGTGTTCAACATGTGTCCATAACCATTTGTTGTACTGATTTTTTCGATTTAATTCTAACTCACCAGACTCTAACAAAGTTTCTTGAAAATCAACCATTTCTTCCCATAAATTTTCTATTCCTTCTTTAGTACGGGAAGAAACACGAAGTACAATAGGTCGCCAACTTCTAAATCGCCGACGAACAAACTTCAAAGCACTAACATACTCTGTTTGAATAAGATGAGCACTAGGCACCAAATCACCATCACTTTTATTCACAACAATTAAATCAACTAATTCTACTATTCCCTTTTTGAGACCTTGGAGTTCATCTCCACCAGCAGGTGACACAATCATAACGAACATATCAACCATATAAGAGACGTGAAATTCTGACTGTCCTACTCCTACAGTTTCTATAATTATTATATCATAACCGGCACATTCACACAAAGCAATTGCTTCATTGGTGCTTCGAGTCACCCCCCCTAAACAACCACTAGTTGGTGATGCACGCACAAAAGCATTGTGATCTCTTGATAACTCCGGCATTCTTGTCTTATCTCCAAGAAGAGAGCCACCGGTGGTAGATGAAGACGGATCAACTGCTAAAACTGCTACTTTATAACCTTTTGAAGTTAACATCTTTCCAAGTGTTTCGATAAATGTTGATTTACCTGCTCCTGGAGGGCCTGTAAGACCTATTCGAAAACTTAAAGCTTTCTGTCCTAAGAATGAGTACCGCTTTCTCGCGTCTTTTAACACTAAGCTTAACAGATACTGAGCAGCAGCTATTTTTTGTTGATTTTGAGATTCAACTAGAGTTATCGCACAAGCAAGAGCACTGCGATCCCCGTGACGGAGACCTTCTAATAAAGAAGTTATTTTCTGTACTTCACGAACGGAGATACAGGAATTAGGATCTTCAAAATTAAGCGCTGAAGCTGAAAACATTGGAAAATGACCGAGACGGCAGCCATTTGGTTTATACAAGATTTGATTTCTTGTTTGCCACACAAACATTTTAAAACTGGAGCCCATATATAAAGGTGTCTTCATAAATCGGTTCATATTACTTCAAGATCTCTGATAACGCAACGTTGAATGCTACGAAGTTCAAAAATTTATCTACATCAGATCCAACTCGGATAAAATGCGTACTAACAATAACAATAACCTAAAACTAATAATCCCAGACACTAACAGTAAAAATTAACAAAAAGCAGTATGCTTGCTCCTCTTCTTCCCAGAGGAGTATAATTTAAAATAAGGGAATGATGATCACTTCTACACAGTTAAAAATTATAGAAAACCACACGACAAAAAACATTTTCGCAATTCCATCATTCTGAAAGCCATCTGGTGGCAGACAGATGTTTTGTTCTGCACCTGCTAAGTCTTTCTGCACTGGAGGGCGAAAGGAGAGCAAAGTATTTCAGAGGAGAGTAAAAAGGAATTTAAAGCGAATAGATGGAACAAAATAAAATTAAAATAAATGGCAAAAAGTAATAGAGAGAAAAAAAAAAGAAAAAAAGGGGGCTATGGAAAGAAAAAAGAAAGAATATAGAATCATTTAGAATAAATAGTGTCTCCCAGGTGTGCGCAGTGAGTGTGTTTGTTAAAGCTGAATAGATGTGATGATGGAAAAAAAAAAAAAAAAAAAGATTCGGGGTCCAGTTACATAGCAATTTAAGTCTAGTTAAGAATTTAACTTTAGCTAAAACAGGAAAGTAAAGTTAAAAAATTAATAATTAAAGAAAAAGGGGAAACAAGTCAATATGTTTGCTTTCACCTTGAGACTCAATAACAAAAAGACACATAATATCAAATAAAAGTATATATTATTTTTAAGTAAAGTAACATTAACTATTACCGTTCCCAACTTATTAATATATTTTTCAGAAAACAGCCCAAGCAAATCCCTACCAGTGGGAGAGCACATAGCCAAAAAAAAAAAAAAATATAAAACACAGAGTTTATTTTTTAATATAATATTTGTTTATTAATTTAACCACCATAATTTATTATATCAGTACTAGTTCAACAAATTGAGGCGCACTATATTTATATTAGCTCCTAATTCCAAGAGGAAATATAGAATAATCTAGATTATATTCAAGGAAATATAGAATAATCCAGATTTCTCATTTGTGATCTGGAAAAATTCGGAGATCGAAGTAGCAAATAGCACAATCTAATACATTCATCGACCCCCAAGATCCCTATTTTCCCTCTCAAGAAATTCATAAAAGCAAGAAACGGAGGCTCCGAAGGGTAACTGCTGATTGACGAGAGCTGCTGATAAGGGAAGTAACATCTTTACGGAGTTACGAGAAAGAAACCACATGATTAAGAGCGGCCGAGCGGTAAAGTCGCTGAACACTGGTAGTTCGGTCCGAGGTTCGAATCCCGCGAACGGGCTGGCTGCATGGGCTCTTTCGTGGTTTTCCCATGGTAACGGTATAGAGCCAGTTTCTCTTAGAAAGTCCTCCACGAAGGCATCCCTCCCCTTAGGCAGATAGCCCTAGTGTGCTTTGCCATAATTAAATTAAATACACCATGATTAAGAGCAATTACTATTGTTTAATGTTAAGAGCTTATGAAAATAAAAAAATAAATGAATTTAAAGGCACTTTATTAATAGGAATTTGATTTAGTTTAGAGAAAAGAAGGATACTTATCTGAATGTTCCATATCATACTTCGCCTTGTTCACGTCATGTAGAAAATAAACAGCGAAGAAGATAAGAGATAGGGAAACTTTTAGTTTGATAGGCGAGATATTGCAGAGGAAAAGGCAAAAGACTTATTTAGGGAGGTGAGAATTTACTGAAGCACACATTAAAAATTTCGGACCACTGTCTAAAATGCTGCCTCCATCGTTCGTAATGGCAGCGCCCCCCGCCGTCTAGTGGCTGAAAATTGGAGACGTAAAAAAAGGGATTCTGGCTGTCATTATTACGTTGTCTGTGAATTTGATATTTGAATTGAATAATCGTAAATTTTCAATCATTAAGTATTAAATAATTAAACACGTTATTATCAAAAAATACTTGAACGTTTATTGTTAACTGTTGTGAGCATTATGCATAACTTTAAAAAAAGTATACCCCACACATTTTGTTGTGCACACAACGTAGTTCAGGAGCTTGCAAGGAAGCTGAGGTATGTTTCCATCGTATGCCTGCTCGAAAAATATGAAACATTGTTTGAATGAAATATGAAACATAGCGTTTTCGTCATATATTCATTTCACAACACACTTTATTTATACAAAAAATATCCTTACTGTACATAAAAGCGTACAGCTCCACAACTGGCTTTCATAGTCTCATTCCCGGCTTTTTACAATCGTTTGGTGGCTGTGTCTTCCCGTCCGACTTCGGGCGGTTAGCTCATGGAGGTTGGAACAGAAAGAGAGAGTGAAACGTACGTGTTTCTAAGCTGTTCTGTGTATGTATTTTCCAGTAAAAGTATGTTAAATTTATAATAAAATGCCTCGCTATTGTTGAATTTTGGTTTTAAAGTAATAAAGATGATATCCATAATTTACAATGTACGGAAAATTAATAAGAAATAGTTCGAAATCTAAATGCATGGGTATAACATTAAAGTCTTTAGAACTGATATTTCTGCGTATTTCAAGGATTTGTTTCAAGGTTTTATTAGCAACCTGTTGGATGTACTTTCCAATTTGTTCTTCAAGAAGTGATATTTCTGATTTTAAAGAATCATTTCATATAAAAAATGTTTAAGAGATAAGAAAGAAAGTTATTTTATTTTAGTATGTTCAATATTCCTATAATGTAAGTATAATACATTAAAGCCCACCAGCGGCCGAGCGGTAACGTCGCTGAACACTGGTAGCGACATGTTCTACATGTTCTTTCTACATGTTCAGTTATGTAAATATTTTACTTACTTTTATCGCTATACTGCCCAGAAATTTGTAAGTTTAGGCAAACAGTTTTTAAGAATAGAACAGTTTATCTTCATCAAATGCACAAATTATATTCATAACAGTTCACAAAACTTAAAAAATGAATAATAATTCATACATAAAGAGAAGTATTATTTTATTTCACACCTTTATAATCATAAAAATAACAATTGATTTCTTGCTTTTCATGAAAATTATAAAACGAATTACCTAAAACGTTAAAACTAAATAATTTAAATCCTAGTACATATCATTGCATGTTAAGAAACGAAGATATCACTTATAAACAGAAACATTAAAATGTATTTAACATATTTTGATAATTACTCAGTCCTTTTTTTTTTTTTTTTTTTTTTACATCTGGAAAGAAAATAACATGACACTGTGACATTTTTCAACATATTTATCAAATTAAATAAAACAAAAGAATCAATACTTACGCGTGAAAAACAATCTCAGGAATCTTTTTAGAAAATCGGCTCGTGCATCCATATGTAACACAAGAAACCATGCTTCAAAAAAAAAAAAAAAAAAAAAAATGTTCTAATGACAGACTTCCTTGCACAAGTCATAGCAGTAATAGTAACATGGCCCTCCAAGATTCACGATTTGAGTTGAACCTTCCTCCTTTTATTCTAGTCTCCTTGGGTTGCAAAGAAAGTATGTTTATTCAGGTAAGATACCTAAGGGTAAGGTAGCTAAGGGTGAGGTGTTTTACACCATTCAGGCCCACCAGCGGCCAAGCGGTAAAATCGCTGAACACTGGCAGTTCGGTCCGAGGTTCGAATTCCGCGAACGGGCTGGCTGCATGGGTGTTTTTGTGGTTTTCCCCATTTGTAATGTGTATACGAGCCAGTTTCCCTTAGAAAGTCCTCCAGAAAGGCGTCCCTGCCCTTAGGCAGATAGCCCTCGAGGCTTTGCCGTAATTAAATAACCTAACCTAACCTTTACACCGTTAATTTACCTCATTACTGTGAAAGGCCAATGGCACTTGTAGGAATTGACAGGATTAAGGCTCTTTGAAGTCAATGCCTGCTTGTGAGAGTGAATGATTCGATTCGATTTAGCTCATACACAGTAGAAATGCTAAATGTCCGACTAGTTGCGCAGACACACTTTTGTGATTTCTGCGCGTTCCGACTAGTCGTAAAGAAACGTTTGTTCTTACATTTGTGTTGATTTTGGAAAGGCGATTTGCTTTTCTGTTTGAAGCTATTATTCTTGTTTTTATATTCCTAATTAATGGCCATTTTATACGGATACGGAGTTTCCACAAGTAATCATAATTTCTTGACATTCTAATTACCAGATTTAGATAAATCATGCATGCAAGCAGGAAAATCACATTTTTATGAAACTAAATTAAAAAATAAAATAATCTTAAAATCTTCTATATATATATATATATCTATATATATATATACTATATATAGAAGTAGACATTTAATTAATCGTAAAAAATTAAATCATACTTGCGCAAAGCTGCAAAGTATAAAATAATAATTTATTTACTAATAGATTATTTAGTATATTATCTCCTAAGGCACTATTGAAATGAAGTATAATATAAGCATATTTAAAAATGAATAAAGAATAAATTAAAAATAGACCCTGCTAAAAATGCCCCATAGAAACCAGTAAAAGTCTTTATATAAAACAGAACCAGTACCGACTTTTACTGGTTTCTGTTGGTCTCTGCGGGTTTTTCTTACTACTTTCAAACTGCCCCATAGAAACGAGCAAAAATTTATACTGGTACCTAAACTTTATACCTGGTTTTTCTTACTGGTATCAATTGACACTCATACAACCAACATCAGTGTCAGAACTTTCTACTGGTTTATATTGACTTTCATTGGCTTTCTTACTGGTATGAATATATTGATAAATCTGCTGTTGGTTTTCATGGGTTTATGCTAATTTTCTGTCTGACGTTACTAGACTTCTTGTAAACAATAAAATTAACAGAATGAAAATACGATATCTTTATGACCATGAGAGTAACCTGGAAACGCAGGTGGTCGTTTTAGAGAGGGTTTTTATTGCTGTAAAATTACTATTGGTTGTTTCAGTTTTAGTTCCATTTACAACATCAGAATTATATAAGAGGCATATGACATGGATTAATCTCGAAATGACGCAGTGCAAAGAAACTACTATTTTTAGAATAGAGAAGGAAAAATATTTTTACGCTGCTACTTTAATCTTTTACATATTTTTTATTTTTCTTATATATATATATATGCACATATATCATTCGATGGTTGTGACTTATGACTTTGATTATTATCTTTCTATTAATTTTATTTTCAAAATCATATAAAGGGAGTTTAAAATTTTGTAAAGAGAATTTGTACAAATATTTTGTAATATCTTTATAAATGCTGACATGCATTGAGAAGGACAGGAACTTGTAAGCTTCTAGATATTC